TGCCTCCCACCACCTCAACTAGACATCAAAACTGATCTTTTAACTAAAAAGCTTGCTGCTAAATGTACAAGCAGGGCAAAATTTCAAGCAAAACTCACAAACACATGGGCTGACAAGCTGCCACTCAGACTTCTATCAGTGCAAACCATGAACTGGGCAATGGGAAGAGACCTCATTGGGCTGCAGGAGAAAGGAGAAGGCCACATGCCACCCAGACAACTGACAATGAGAAGCTCTCATCTGATATTTGCATTTGGCTTTACTCTCTGCAAGGTAATTTTTACCTGAGAGGACACATGACCCCTGCACAACTCCTGTCACAAGACCTAGAACTTTCTCAAACCTCTGTATACCAACCCACCTATTATAAGATCATGCAAGTGTGTGATGTGTAATTCACCTGTTACCCTTACTAGACTGTCGCTGTAAGAAGAGTAGCAAGATAGACTTGTCAATAATTCAGTGTCTCCCAAGAGTTGAACTACTGAGAATACTTGTGCATAGACAGAGTAATGAAGAACTAAAGTCCGTGAAGTGGGTGGCTGGTTGGGGGTGTGGATTTGAAAGACGGTGGATCAATGCAAAGATGGATTCAATGCGCAAATGATATCAGACAGTATTAGTCTGAATAAGGTGCTTATCCGTACCTTATCCTGCTGTTGTTGATTTGGGAGGTTGTTGGTCTTCTGCTGTTCATCTTCAACATTCAGGTTCAACTCAGTCAAGTACTGTTGGAGAAGGTACGAATCAGCCTGTACTTCCTTGCAATCCTGCCTCACTTTGACCAATGACTTCTTTACGACAGAGGACTGCAACAGGAGCCGACTTTGCAGGTTTCTGGAAACACACTAAGGTTATTAAGATCCTGCAACCTCCTCCTCCCATTCCTACTTATAGGTTCCATTACCCCATCAAGACCCAGGTTCCCATGAAGACATAGTACAATATATTTCAATATATCCATGACACTGCACAAACAGCAAACAGCCAATGCAGGTAAGAATTAATCATGTCTGTAGCCCAAACACAAATAAGGCACCATGTCTCCCCAAAAGAAAGAGGTATCACCATCTATCTGCCTCTCCAAAGAAAGAGGAATCTCCATGGCAGCCCAGTGTATTGCAGCAACATCAAGTAGTAGGGTGCAAATACCCTCATTGGAGGTCAGGAGAACTAAGAGGAGGGCATTCTATCCACGTGTTCCATCACACTCACATCTGTAAAACCCTGCCTGAGCCCCATAGGTCCAGTTATGCAAAAGAACCCTCTCATTTTGTTATCTTAGAGGCTCCTGAGGATGACCAGATAACCCTGCGAGGACTAAGGTTCTCTTACAGATTGAAGAAAACTGAGTCCAAAAGGCCCAAGGTACACTGAAGGCTAAAAAGCAGAAGGGATAGAACCAGACCTGGAGACTCTCCATTCCAGTTCAAAGGAATGCAGAAATGGCCATTGTACAAGTGGTAGCCTCCATGACCTGCACTTACCTATAGAAGTTAATCTCCTTCTTGTGCTCCTGGACGTTCTCACAGAACTCAGTGTTCTCCATCTCTAATTTGTTCAGAAATGACATGACCGTCTTCTCCTTTAACTTCAGTTTTTCATACAGTGGATTTTGCCTGTAATAGGGTCTGGCCCCAGTAAGACAGAACTCCATGAACATGGGCTTTTAGGAACACATGAACTCAGGCTGGGTCCTGTCCTACCCTACTCCTGGAAGGCCAATTCCTTCATTCTACATACGGGGATCTTCTCCAGCTTTGGAAACTTGTTATCCTGGCCCAGGACAGCAGAAGTTTGGCATCCAGATGGAGGGTGCCCTGGCTCTCTGTGTCCACTCAGCTGGCCTGAACTGGAGGTCTAGCAGCTTATGCTCTAAAGAGACTAGGCCACAGGTCCTTGACCACCAGAAACCTGTGATTATATATTTCCTAATTTCAAAACAGGGACTCTAAATCCTCCATAACTAATAGTGTGGAGACATTCATTGCACATAATTCTGGAGATGAGACCAGTCATCAACACAGTTTTCTAGTCTGTCAAAGAGATACAAATGTACAGACAAATGGCACCACAGAGGCAATGAGAGTGCTGTTTACATGAGCGGATCCCAGACCTCAGGAGTCACATCACCTTTAAACTGTTATACAGGTCAAGCCACAGGCCAAAACACAGAACCCTAGTTCCCAAAGAGTGGAAGGAAATACACACCTAGTATATGTCTGCACATACATATGCATGTGTACACACACAAGCACACACACAAGGAAAAGTAAAAGGAAACAGAATCAGAGAATGAGAAAGAGAGAGATACAGCAATGGAGAGAGAACAATCAGAATCTGAAGAAATTCATTCAGCATTCCTGTCTCAGAGTATAAGGCACACAGACAAAGGCATAATCTTCAGGCCTCCTAGTCAAGCACTGAGGTGAACAGTGTGGGGCCAGCTGCTTCCAGGACCTTCCAGCCCTCAGTTAAGCACCAGGTAAGTACAAAGTGTCACCACAAACTTACTGCATCTGTCAAGGACTTTACAAATGCATGTTGTGCACTCACTTGCCACGGCCCACATTCAGAATTCTTTACTCAGACCACAAGTTCAACATTTCAGTTGGAGGAAGCAGAAGAGTCCCTTTCCCTTCTCGCTCCTGAACAAGCTTCAGGTTCAACCTCTCCTCTAAGAAGCACTTAGGGGTATAAAGTTGGGCACAGGGACTCTGTGGAGGTACTGCTTCCCAGAACTCACAACCTTAAAAGGATAAGATGAGGGTGACATTGCAGATGTCAGACTGACACCAAAGTGTTTGGAGCAATGAGTACCTCTTGTTCATGGATCCCTCTGTGACATAGATCAAGCGGTCTCTCAGCTCGTTTCTCTCCTGGGTACTGAGCCCCAGCTCTTTGGTCAGTCTCTTTTCCTCCTTCTTGGCCTCTTTCCTGCTTAGGACAGTTGCATGGTGTGATGTCCATCTGCCAGCCACTGTAGTCAGAAGAACATAAGTAAATTACCCCCAAGAGAATGCAGAGAGTTTAGACAGAACACCCTGAGGTTAAACAGAAAGAGACCATGCCTGGAAACCAGTGACACCACAAAGAGTTTGGTCCAGGCTTGAGATACCACCTAAGTGAATCTCAGCTTTCCCTTCACTCTATAGAGACCAGGAGATGAAAGCAGCCAGGTGTTTCCTCTGTCTCCCTACACATGCTTATGATGACCCCAGAGATTGGTTCTCTACAAGTATTGTCAGTTTTACAAGGTGCAACTTGGCTTTAGACCCCTCAATCTTGTGGTTTCACAAGTCAGATGGAAAATGAACTAACCCCAAGAACATGAGTGATAAAGGTTGTCAGATGTCCTACCCTGTTACTCAAGGCCCAGTAGTTTGGACTAAAATTCATAGAGGGGGAGACCATTATCAACATACTGGTCAATTCCCCCTACTGAAACACCAAACACCCCAGAGATGGCAATAGGGTTCATTGTCTGAGTGTATCAACACTGAAAATTGTTTGGTTACAGGAGACAAATGCCTGCCACCCACAATGGGTGATAAAGAAAGCTAAGGTGGGTACAGTCAGGGAGATGTGGTCAGAGGAGTCCTGAGAACATAAGGCCATGGCCAGGAGCACAGTTCTTTCCCTGGTACTACTGTCAGATAGCCACTGAAGCTAAAAAACAAAAACAAAACCAAAACAAAAACACCAAAGCCATGCCAGTGATGTGCAGTGATGCCCTTGCATAAATTGGCATAGGTTAGACCCTCTGTGACTCTTGATGGTTTCATTTTGTCCTCATGTAAAAACCACAAAACCCAGTCAAAGTAAAGACTTGGTGTTTGAAATACATGCTTTGGCCTTGCCATCACCTGCCTTAAGGGATGGAGAAAGTCATATTCTGAAATCCTTGATGTTTAAGTATTGTGATAATCATGGAAATTCTTTTGCTTCCCAGTGAAGTCAGTTTCTGTGCCCAAATTGCTAGGAAGGCCAGCTCAGGCCACCCCTGACAGGAAGCTCAACATCCCCTTCCCAGGACTTACTCCACATTCCCCAAGACCACCTTCTTCGTCCTTCATTACTCTCAGATGAAAGTCCAGCTACTTTCTGCCTCTCTCTAGTTTCTGTCACCTCCATCTCTGCTCTTCCAAAAAGTCTCCTCAGTCGGGAAATCATGTCTAGGGACATATGCTGTAGACACTGACTGAGAGAGCTCAGTGCACTTGGTGTCACTACAACACTGGTGACATCACAAGGGATGCCAAGAACTCTCCAGGATACAATGGAATGTCCAAAGAAGCGGCTGCTGATGTCATGGGGAACACCCTTTGCCTCCCTGCTAATTTTCTCCCTGTACAGGTAGGAAGCTGAGGCATCCTTATAAGGGTGTTTTCTTGGTCACAGACATTGGGAACCTCCACTTTCCAAAGCCAGAGTTTGCTCTAGACTTGATCAGAAACACCTAAGTCATTTTTTTTTTCTGAATTTAACTGACTGTTTCCCTTCAGACCTTGCCCAGGAATGTCTCATCCTACCTCAAGATTTCACAAGTCAGCAATATTAGCCATTAAAAACTGCTCAAAATCACATCAGGAAGAATGTGGAGGAGGAAATATCTCCTGTCTCATCATGTAGAGATGCTTGAAATCACATCCTGGAAGAGCCTGAAGGGCAGGTACAAAAATTTGTCCTATCTACAAGAAATGCAGGATCTACGATGGAGCAGACTGAGGGAACAGCCAACCAATAACTGGTCCAGCTTCAGACACATCCCAAGTACAAGCACCAATTCCAGACATTGTTAATGATACTCTGTTTTGCTTGCAGATAGGAGTCTAGCATAACTGTTTTCTGAAAGGCTCCACCCAGCACAAAAATATACAAAG